AGAAACTAAGGATAAAAGAAAAAGAAGATAAAAGATTTAATTCATGATATAAATTCTTACTTCTGCTATTTTTAAAAAATATTAATCACAATTTATATATTATAATCAGCTATTTAACATGTTGATTGCCACGCGTATTTCTAACGAAATCTCCTTCAGGTCACTCGCGCCACTGTATTCCAATACTTCTATTGATATTTTAGTAATACGAATCTGATGGTCGCAAGAATGATGTCTCATTTATTTCCATCATAACTTCGCATTCGCAATAGAAGTATTGATAATAGTAATTTTATTGACAATAATATTGAATAGTAGTACTGATTTAGTATATTTTGAATATTTTAATTTGGATAATTTAGATTATAATTTGAATAATATGACTGTCGAATACCCTTCGACTAGTCATAATAAATGTACTTCTTAGTTGAATTGTATATAAATTATTCGTATGGCTTGTCTATTAGAGATCAGGATCACAGCAGGTAATTGTGTCTGATGGTCAGAGCACGATATGTTCATAAATTATCTAATCGTATCATCATCATCAGACTCGTGATACTCCAAAATTAGAAGATTTAGAGAATTATTAGCTGGAAAATTGTTACGATTATCTGAAAATACAACAAAATCTTCAACGGAGTCAACATAATATCACCATTCGGAAAAATAATTCTAGTATAAATATTAGATTGCATGCAAATTATATTATTCAGATAAAAGACGACAAATGCAAAGGAATTTAAAAAAGACAACAACTTTTTGTTTAAATTGTGAGGTTGATTGTCAACCTCAGCTTTGTGTAGAATGTTTTAAAATTTTACATTCAAAATAATTTTTTTAATAAATTATTTTATTATTTTTATAACAATTTAATAGTTTTATTACACCGTGTAGAATATCTTTCCAAATACCTACGAAGATCGTTCATAAATAGACAAATAAGCGTCACCCGAATATGGATGACGCGGCAATCAACGTGTTAAATAGTTTAAGCTTAATATATAATTTTTATAATATATTTTACATATCTACCTATAATAAGTATATCTGCAGTACAACCAAGTTGAGAAGCAACTATAAGCATTTGACATTGTGGTGGATCTAATGGAAACTCCGCCATTTGTCGTCCTAAAGGCGTTAAACGTCCTGTATGATCTAATGCACCCAAAATCCATAATTGATATAGAGAATTTAATATATTATCTTGTGGTGGTGGATCCATAAAATGAAAAGCCAATAAATCCTGGACACCTAAAGACTTCAATAATAATACAGTATTTGCTAAATTAGTTCGTTGTATTTCTGGAACACCAGTTAATAACAATTCATCTAAATATTGTCTTCGTGTGTATAATCTATAACAGGTACCAGGACCAGTACGTCCTGCTCTTCCTGCTCTTTGATCAGCATTAGCTCTAGATACAGGATATACTTGTAAAGCATCCATACCAATTCGTGGATTATAAACTTTCAACTTGCAATATCCTGAGTCAACAACAAATACAATTCCATCAACAGTTAAAGAAGTTTCAGCTATATTTGTTGCTACGACACATTTCCGTAAACCTCCTTCTGAACGTTGAAAAATTTTAGCTTGTAAATCTGAAGGCAATTGTGAATAAATAGGTAAAATAGAAAGTGGAGGAGCTGATTCGATTTCTGCTAAACGTTCTTTTAAAGCTTCACAAGTAACTTCAATATCTTCTTGACCCGGCATAAATACTAATACATCGCCGGTTCGAGGTTGTAAATGAATTTGTAACACCTGTTTTACCGCAGCATCGACATAATCTTCTACTGGATTTTTTGCATGTAATACTTCAACTGGAAATGTACGACCTGGAATTTGGAATGTTGCAGCATTTCCGAAAAATGCTGAAAATTTGCTAGAATCCATTGTAGCAGATGTTACGATTAATTTCAAATCATGCCGCCGGGCTACAACCTGTATATTTTTTTATATAAGTGATCACACATGTACAAAAATATATTATTTTTATAATGAAATTATATATTTACCTCTCTTAGTAAACCAAATAAAACATCAGTGGATAAAGATCTTTCATGAGCTTCATCCATAATGATTACACTATATCGATCTAAATCCCCTTCTCTTAAACTTTCTCTTAATAAAATACCATCAGTCATATATTTAATAACAGTCTGTAAATAAATATAAAGTTATTTAAAAATATTTATTTTAAACTTATCCAATTATTATTTTAAAAATTCTAAAATTGTATTAATCTAAAAATATAAGACATACATCTTTTGAAGTGCAATCTTCGAAACGAATAGCATAACCAACTTTATCTCCTAAAGTAGTAGCCATTTCATCAGAAACTCTTTTTGCTACAGACATAGCAGCTACTCTTCGAGGTTGTGTACATCCAATTATACCATAATGACTATAACCATCTTCATGAAGATATTGAGTTAATTGTGTAGTTTTTCCACTACCAGTTTCTCCAACAATAACTACAACACTATTTTCTCTAATTACATTTAATAATTCTTGTCGTACTGCAAATACTGGAAGACTTCTTCTTTGATATTGAATAGATCTGTATTTAGCTTCTCCAGTAACTTCATCACTTCGTATATGACGAGCATATTTTTGACCAGCTTTAAAATCAGTTTCTTGTCCTGGATCTTCTCTATCATCTTTATGTCTATCACGTACTCCCATAATATTACCAATATGAGTTCCAGCTAGTTCCCAATGTTTCTTTTGTGCTCTTTTTCTTTCTTTTTGTTCACGATATGCACGTACTAAAGCTGATCCTTTTCTTGCTACAAGAGCCATATCAGAAGTAGGATCACGCACAGGTACAACAGGTTCTGGTTGTTTAGTAAATACAATTCGACCTAATAAATCATAAATTTTGATTAAATATATATTTATATACAATATTAATAAATTAATATTTAATATATTTGTTTATAATATTTTATAAATAAAATTATCAATTGTAAGGAAGATATTTTACCATCTAAAAATGGTGGAACAACATTATGAACTAAGAGATGGACTCTGGTTTCCCCTTCGTCATCAGGATCATCATCATGATCTAAAGAACTTACAACACCAGATGTTAACATTCTATTACGTTCCCATAATTCATTATCCTTGTTAATTTGTCTTTGTTGTGCTGAAAGACGTTTTTGTCTCTTTGCTTCTAGCTCCATTTCTTTTTTACGTGTATATTCTTCAGATACATCAGCAAATGCATGATTTTCTCCATCATCTAAACCATACCATTCTCTGTCTAATCTAAAAATAAATTAAAAAATAAATTTATTTCTTAATATATATATAATATAATATAATATAATATAAGAAATATATAAATAAAAAAAAAGTTTTAAAAATTACAAATATTATAATACCTTTGTTGTTCTTCTTCCCATAATTCTTTTTCCTCTCCTTCAATGCTAGGTGTAGCACCACTAGCTTTTCGATCTCTATTCCATGAATTATATTTATATGAAGGTGTAAATTCACTTCTAATACTATCTCTACCATCTTTACTATTATAAATATTAGGTGTTGGATGATCCCAACTGGATTTTCTTGGTTCTTCATCTTCATCATCATCCCAATTACTTCTGGATGTTGAATCCTATAATATAATACAATAGCAAATTTTCATTAAACTTTATTATTTATGTACAATACAATTTATGTATTATTAATTATTTAAAACAACTTGATAATAAATTTATATAAAAAATTATATATTTACTTTTGTTTTAAATATTGGAGTTTGCGGTTCATCTTTAAATCTTAAAGGTGTTTGTCTATTACTATCTCTACCACTATCTCTACTTCTACTCCTTTCTCTATCTCTATGCCTATCTCTATCTCTATAATTATGTTTATGATGTTTGTCCTGTGCACTTAATCTTTGATGTTTTAATCGCGTTTCTAATCTTTGTTGTGCTTCAGAATTTACTCCTCCAGTATGAGTTGGAGTTTCCTCAGCATAAGATCGATATTTTCTTTCTTTAATTTCTGACTTTGGTGAATTTGAGTTAGATTTTAAGTTATTTTCTTGCAAATTTTCTTGTCTTTTTCGTTTTGCAAGTTTATCAAGACCCAAAACAGATACTTGAGGTTTTTTAAATGTATGATCAGAAGATTTTTTTCGAATAATTAAACCTCCTACTTGATTTTTATCAGTTCCTTCTAACCTATACACATTTGAATCATTTGATGTATCCATTTTTTACTATGAATTGTCGCAGTTCTTTTATGCACGCTATCAAAACTATGCACACATTATGTCAATTCACATACATTGTATATTTAGTGAAAGATCTATAGCGACCTCTATATTTATTCAACTGTTCCGCCGAAAACTGCATTTCCACTAAAATTAATTAATAACAAAATTTTCTTTAGCGGAAAAAAATAGTCAACGCTTTTTAAGAAAAATCATTAATTTGCAATTTATAATTTTTTAAAGATTTTTTTTACATCTCACTTAATAAATTAATTCTTTTAACTTTTCAAAATAAAAGACATTAAATTATCGTGTTTTAAATTTTTTATATATCAATATTTTGAATTATTATATTGTGTAACTAAAATTCCTAAAATTTTGTAATTTTGCAAATGACTTTTAAATTATTGAATTTCAAAATTATTTATTTCAAATTATTAATTTCAATTAATAATTATTTTCAAATTCTGTATGTCAATATTTATAAAAACCATAAAAATAAAAAATTTAATTTTTAAAGTTTTATTTTAAATTTTATTTTAAAATAAATAAATTCTTGATTTGCATTTTTCTTATCTTTTGTATATTAAATTTCGCACAGTAAATTTTTATTTTCTCAATATTGTTAACCAATCTTACTGTCTCAAGATTTTAATCATATAGTTTTATTTATATCTTTTGACTCGTCTCATTGGACAGAATATAATAGTGTTACTTATTAATTTTTTATAATATATATACATATTGTACAAATTGTTTTTTTATAAACATGAAAGAAATAACAGTGTAGTACTCAAAAGTTCTTAAAGATATTGTTTATGAAGTAATACTTTTATTATGAGAAGTAATGCTGAGAAAGTATGAAATTATAATGAAACTTTATTATGTGTGAATTATTGAAAGATATACTAATTTAAAAATTAAATTTTATTATTTATTTATTGATAAAAATAATATTTTATATAGCATTACTAATAAATAAGAAGTGATAATGATAGAATCGTCAACATGGAATACGAAAAAAGACGAAGCAATATATAAAGCGGCAGGTTCAATACATTTGCGAAAATATGGACAATTTTTCGAAAATTTAGCAAAGCAAACATGGAAAAAAGATTCTACATTAGAATATTTTATAGAAGGCCCTCTTCGGCTTGTATATAAACCTGTTGAGGATATTAGTTTGATAAGTTTAATAGAAATGGAAAATAAATTTTTATCAAAATTACTTGCTGCAGTTGCTGGTACTTGTAGAGAAATTAGACTTCTTGTAATGGAAGCTAAAACATTCTATAAAAAATTGTTTATTCATGGAGAAAAAGGAACAGAAAATAATCAAAGTAATATCACATCTCTTCTATCTGATTTACAAGATTTATTTGTTTTTGTAAATAGAATATGGACAGTTACACATTTAACAACAGAACAATTATCTAATCTAGCCAGTGATTCTAATGATATATATTTACCCGTATTAATAGAACATTTTATTGATTTGTTTATAATTGTTTTAACATTAGACGAAATTGTTGAATCTCAACCATCTTTACAAGAGCAATGGAAAAAATATAGAATGAATGTACGTTCTATTATGCATAATCCATCGCAATTTGGTATAAATGAATCTAAACTACATGTGTTCAATAAGTTATTGAAAGATTTACAAGAAAATTTATTAAAGAAAGTTTTATTTTCTAAGACAATAGAAAGTATAATGGATGTAAATAAAGGACCTATAATGAACGAACATATTACTAATTATCTAAAAAATTTAATAATAGATATAGAAAATAAACCAAATGATTATGTTTCATTAAATAAAAATTGGATTGAAATAAATATTGGTATTGTTATAATAACAAAATTATTTGGTACCTGTGATAAAAGATTAATTAAAAAGGTGCTTGAAAATAATAAAAAATTCTATGCTGTAAATTTAATTGGAAATGTTATATGGATTCCAAGTAAATTTTTAAGTGATTTTTTGCCAAAGGAAGCTGGAAATACTATTAATCAACAAATAGGAGAAAAAATATTAAGTTCAAGAATACAGAAACTTTCGCAAACTGTAAATAGTTTAATTCAGAAAGCAGTAACATGGTGCATTGATATGCAAAGTATTTTAATGAAAACAAGTCTTCAAATTTCAGATATTGGACAAAAACAATCTTTATTAATTGATTTAGTTGCTCTTTTATCTCAAATTAAAGAAATCATATCTTTTATAATAAATATGCATGCAATTCTTATTAAACCAATGAATCGCAATACTGTCCAATTAATTTGTAGATTAATAGAAATACAAAAATCTTTACAGACTACATTTTACATTTTGGGACCAGTTATAGTGCAATCACAAAGTCAAGTATTACAATATTTAAGTTATTATATATTAATTACATTAGAAACTGCACGTAAAAGTTTGATTCAGAAAGATAAAGGTTATAGCAAAGAAAAATTAGACTCATTATCATTAGTGGGTTTAAGTATGAGATTATTAAATGGACCACCAAGTGCAGATAGGAGATTAATAATTAGATGTGCTCTAGCATGTGCTAATCAATTAACAGATACTTTCAAAGAGGAGGATATGGTGAAATTACGTTTTTCATTAAATAATTATGATATTATTGCTGAGTTGCATAATATTATTATAGATCTCTGTGATTATTCTATATTATTGTATCACCAGAATATAATTCCAGCTTATTTTTCTTCTGTAACAGATAGTAATTTAAATATAAATCATATTGTTCATTTGTTCAATGCATTTAATAGTACTATAAGTGAACAAGAAGGATTAAATTTAAAACAAAAAAGAATTATGCAATTAAAAGAAATGTTAACCAAAAATATATTAGAACCTGTTTGCCATGAGATTGAAACTAATTTAAGGCTTCATGTTCATGAGCATTTAAAGTTGAATTCTACAAATCCATTTAATATTGGAGCAAAAGATGGTGGAAGAATAGTGCGATCATTGCCTCTACCTCTAGCAAATAGTATGATATATGCCAAAAGATTTATCGAACATTATCTTGATGATATGTTTTATAATCTCACTACAGTGGCATTGCATGATTGGAGAACATATCGAATGATGCATGCTTTGGCACATTATAAATTAAATCTCAATACTGTTCAAAATCCCTTACCTACACAAACCTTGGAACAGGGTTTGGATGCTTTAGAAATTATGAGAAACATTCATGTATTTGTTTCAAAATATTTGTATAATTTAAACACTCAAACATTTATTGAACATACTAGTAACAATAAACATTTAAACACCATTGGAATTCGACATATAGCAAATTCTATTAGAACACATGGAACTGGTATTATGAGTACAACAGTTAACTTTGTTTATCAATTTCTTCGTATAAAATTACATACATTTTCACAATTTCTTTTTGATGAACATATAAAATCAAGATTAATGCGAGATATAAGGTTTATTAAAACTCAAAGAGAAAATGGAACAACACCTTATACATACGAAAGAGCAGAAAAATTCCAAAAAGGAATCAGAAAATTAGGTATGACACCTGATGGTCTAAGTTATTTAGATCAATTTCGACAATTAATAACTCATATTGGAAATGCATTGGGCTATGTACGATTAATCAGATCTGGTGGATTACATGCTAGTTCAAATGCTGTTTCATTCTTGCCAAATATTGATTCATCTATACCATTTGAATTAATGTGTAAAAATTTAAATTATAGTGCAACAACTCAAGCAGCAGCAAAATGCTTAGAAAATGATATTGCAAATTTAGTACGACATTTCACAGAGGGTATACAATATTTCAAACTTCTTGTCGATGTATTTGCATCTGCTTTTCGAGATACTGAATCACATCATTTGCAACAATTTTATGCTATTGTACCTCCATTAACATTAAGTTTTGTTGATAACTCAATATCAAATAAAGAAAAAATGTTTAAGAAAAATCAAATAGGTGCAGCTTTTACTGATGATGGTTTTGCAATGGGAATTGCTTATATAAATGCCCTTTTAAATCAGTCATCAGAATTGGATAGTTTACATTGGTTTAAAACAGTTGAACAATATATAAATGCTGAAAAACAAATTGCAGAAGGTAATAAAAATATTCATGGAGATGAAAAATTGCAACAAACAAGGGCATTAACATTAAAACGCTTAGGTGAAAGGAGTGCTGAATTTCAACTGCTCTATTATAGTTTATCTGGGGCTAGAGTGTTTTTTAAACAATCTGATACATAATATTTCATAATGTATTATTGAATTGATTAATTATAATGTGATAGTTAAATATTTTTGTTTCATATTTCATTACTAATGTATAAAAAAATATCAAATTATACAATGAATAATGTTATGTGCTTTATAAAAAAGCTTTAAATGCTAAAAATAGCTATAATTATATGCTATAAATTTATTTTATTTTCATAATCCTTTTGTAACTTGTATTATATATATTACAATAATGAGAAAATAAAAATACAGTAATATATAAAATAAATTTTGACTTATTAAAAAGACATAGTTTACAGTGAACTCTCCATATCCATAGAGATAAGTTTCAAGATTTGCGAATAATATAATATATAATATATATATTATATATATCTATAATAAAATTTAATTTATTAATTATTAAATTTTAAGAAAAATAATTAATAATAAAACTTAACAATTTAAATAGTAATGAATAATAATAAAAAACAATAAAAATTATATGTTAAAAAACAGCAATATAATAATAATACAATATTATATGATAGATGAAATAAAGTGAATGATGAAGATATGTGATGCATTATTTATATCAGTATCTAGAATTATCTATGTTATATAATTCTGATAGATATAATTCTGTATAGGTTCTAGTAAGAATTCAGGAATTTATTTAATTTTTTGAAATTGTATTCAAGCATATACATAAAACCATGAATATGGAGATTTTACTATTTTTTTTTTTATATATTAAAATTCAATAGTTCTAAACTTGTTTTGCTTCTCCATATATTATGTTCAATTATACTTATATATAAATATTTTTTATATCAATGATATATAATTGCAATCTTTAATATTTATGATTAAATAAGTAATGGCTAGATGAACAGACTAGAATTTATTATGTTTATAACTTCTAAATAGATAGGAGTTTCTTAAAAATGTATTTATAAATAAAAAAGCATTATTATTGCATATAGCAATATAAAAAGAAATCTGCCTTTATATTACCAAAAATTCATATAAAAATCAAATATTAAGAAACAAATTTGTCAATTTTAAATTTTATTTTAAATGTTTATTATAGCTTTGGATAATAATTTTTTTATTATTATTCACTTGATATTCATAAATCATTTATTCTATATTTTAACAATATTATGTTTTTATAAATTCAAAAATTATAAACCTTTTGTTTTAAATAAATATAAATTACGAAAAACTATAAATTTTTTAAATTACTACCAATAATAAATTACAGATAATATAAATAATATAAATTATATATAGAATATCATATTGTAAAGCTATAAAATGTTACATTAAAAAAATTCATGTTTTTTAATAAAATTTAATAAATTCTTATTTCAACAATATGACTGTTGTTATTATTGTACTGTTAGTATTTAGAACATATACTTGTTCATATTACATTATTAAAATATGTAATATTGTGTAACTTTGCATTTTTTTAGACATCTATAAAGCTATTATTTTTATATTTTTTGATCTTTCTGTGCTTTAGAATTGAAATTATTTAAATAATTTAGTAATTATTATGTAAATTAACTGTATGGAATATGAATAATTGAGTTCTAATTTAAATATATAATCCACAATAATAAAACTATTATTATCTAAATCTTTTTTATAATTTTCCATTCAATTATTAATACTAATAAGGATATGCTTCTTTTTTGTTTTTGAACTGGATAAATTACTGTAGTATCAATTGGAATTGTTTGTAATTGTTTTTCCTGACAAATTAAGAAAACTGTTCTAATTTCTAAGATTGAAATCTAGATGATTCTTCTGAATCTAATAAGTCGTCACAGGAAGCTGTTGGAGGTAATAACTGTCTACCTCCTCGTTTTTTACTGCGTGTAAATACTTTAGTAAGTTGTGCAAACTTACGTCGAGACACTGAAATATAATAAAAAATAATAAAAATAAAATAAATTATATATATATATATTATATATATGTATTATGTATATATATATATATATATAATTATTATATAATAATTTAATAATAATACGATAATAATAAATTGTAAAAATTATTATATACTTTTGCCCATATTTTTTAGTCTTTCTTTAAAAAGATCTTCATCATCATGACCAATTTGACTGTCACATTTCTCAAGAGTTGTTCCTTGAATTTTTGTATCTATAATAAAAAATATATATATATATAGTTGGAATTTTATATTTTTCTTAATTTTCTTATATCATAAAAATTACTATTACTTATTACAAACCATTTTCTAAAGTTGATAAAAAGTCTTCATTCCAACGTAATTCAGCCATAAATTCTTCATTTTGAAGAAACATAGCAATTCTTTCATCTTCTATCATTGAATTTTCTTGTAAGTAAGAGGAATCTAAACTATCTTCAGAAACTTGAGGAAGTCGAAGAAATGTATCTGGTAATGGTCCTAATAAAGCAGGTTGCCACTTACGTATACTTTTTGAAGATATTGTTGAATCTATTTTGTATGACTTAGAAGTACTTGGTGATTTTTCATTTTGCTCTAATTCACTCCTAATTTTTTCATTTTCATTATCTGTACTCATAGTAAGTAACTGATCAATTGTTGTATCTACAGCTCCTTGATTAGATCTTAATACAGCCTAAAAAATTTAAATAAATTATAAAATTTTTTAATTTTTAATTGATTATTAGTTGTATGCTTTTAAATGCTAAATAATATGATTGTTTTATATAGATACAAAAATTATTATAAATATTATTATATTAATAAAAATATTCTAATATTTTATTTTCTTGTTTAATAGAAATTCTTTGTCATTAAAAAAATTAAATTTTTTTCAATGTGTTTCATTTTTAAGTAATAATATTCAATCCAATAATTTAATTTTATTTTAAATATATAAAAGAATATTTACAAATAAAAATTAATATTTGATTTTAAATATTATTATTAATTAATATATACTTCATAATATATTCTATCTGTTTTAAAAATTTATATTAAATACTTTTAAAATATAAAATATTAATATTTTTTTTATAAAAGTTTTTAAAAAGTTCAACATATTATTCAAAAATTATTTCAATAAAGAGTTGAATATTATATATCATAATATATTTAGAATGAAGATTTTTTTATGATTATATAATATAGCTTATTATTATACAATATAATATTTTTATAAAATAACTTAATATTTTTATTAAATAACTTACCTCAATCACATCATCATCCATTTGTGGAAACATGTTTTTAAAATCAGCCATTGCTTGATAAAATTCTAAGGTAGTTTGTTGTTGTTGTTGTTGTTGTTGTTGTTGTTGTTGTTGTTGTTGTTGTTGTTGTTGTTGCTGCTGCTGTTCCATAGCAGAGGCCATTATGTGGTTATTATAAAGTTGCTAATCTAAATTAAATAATTGATTTTAATTATAAAACTTTTATTATTTTATTTTAAATTTCAGTAATAATGTTATTTAATCTCACCTCAATAATTCAAAAGATTCAAAATATTTCAAAAACATAAATATGTAGATAAATTATCATCCATAATGAATAATATCAGTTTCTTATTATTATGTTGTCATGTTTTTTATTTAAGAATTAATTACATTTTATATATAGTTAATAGTTTTTTACTTTATTATATAAAATATATTTTTATATGATATAATTAATTATGTTATGTGAAATATCTATCCACATAATTAAAAACTAAGAGATAATGTCATTAGTTGTAAAGAAAATAAGCAACTGTCAAAATTTATTGAGATTTATATAAGCTCGAGACGGTTCTTTCTTAAAAAATATGAATATGAAGTTATTTAGAAAGTGCGAAACTCTTTACAATGGTGTCTCAATTTATCTAGTGATTTAAGCCCTTATTTTTTATTGGTTTATTTTGGACAATTTATTTATTTTAGTTTGTTTTTTTATTTAATTTGAATATAAATCATATTAAATATTATTTATTTTTAAAATAATATATATATTATACATATATATACATATATACTTGCATGATAAGAATTAATAATTTTAAAAATGAAAAAAATAAATATTATATACAAAAAAAAAAAATGGTAACTCTATTATTGTTACTTTTAAGTCAATATAATTGAATTCAGATAAATATTTCAATGATGAGAAATTATTATATTTAAATGTCAAAATACATATAAGCGTCTATAAATTAATATCAAAAGTAAATATAGAATGTGAAGTTTAATATTTTTATTGTAAAATAAAAAACCTAAAAAACAATATTAATTAACAAATATATTTTTTTAAGTTTTTAAAATTTCTATTTTTGTATATATAACATTAATTAAATACAAATTTTTATGAATTAAACAAATTATTTTATATATTTATTGATAAAAATAAATATTTAAAAGATTTATATTAAAAATTTATTATTGTAAAATTAAAAATTATTAATTATATTATAAAATTATTATAAAATATATTTATACAATAAAATGAATTACAATATGTTTGATATGAATAATTTAATTAAATATTTTCTCTGTTGCACATCAATAAATACAATGGAGATACTTGTATGTATATGAATTTTATATTTTTTAAATAATTTCTTAAGTAATTAAATAATTTTAAAATATTACATATAGCTTCAATCTTCTCAAGAAAGTATCGATTATTTGCTTAATTTAGAAAAACAAGAGGAAATTTTGAAAAATACAGTAAATAGTGATTTAATTAAAAAATATCCAATAAAACAATCTTATCAAAGAGCATTCTTAAAATGGCTTATGAATAAGGTAATTAAATTAATATTTGTAAAAAAAAAATTAAAATCAAAATGTATTTTTTTATTATAGATTGAAGAGAAAGATGGTGAAATTTGTGATATTATGTATATTACATACTGTAATTTAATATCTTCCACAATCAAAGAATCTATTCATTATCGACATTTTTTAATAGAAAATGATTGTGTTAGTATAAAAGAAAGCACAAATATTATATCAGAAGGCACAACAGGATTATATAGTTGGCAGGTAGTAATTATATATATATTTATTATAAAATATTGATACTTATATTATATGGATGATTTTTATATTTCTGAATTATAATATCATTTATGATTTGTAGGGAGCTATAGAATTAAGTAAATGGTGCATAAAAAATAAGAATAAATTCTATGGAAAAATTGTTTTAGAACTAGGTTGTGGAGTTGGATTAACAGGATTGTGTATTATTAAAAAATGTTTTCCCAAACAATATATATTTACAGATTATCACAAAATTGTTCTTGAAATGGTTTCTGAAAATATTAAATTTAATTTATTGAATAATGAAAACAAAATACAACCAGAATTAAAATATGATAGATTGAAATTACAATTAAAATATAATTATACAGATGTTAAAGTAATGGAATTAAAATGGGAAGATATTAGTAAATATGTGAATGAACAATGGACTGTACCTGATATAATAATTGGAGCTGATATTTTATATGATGCCAAATCATTTTATGAATTAATATTAGGATTAAAAAAATTATTATCTTTTGTTATGGATGGATATGCTATTATTGCAGCAACAATTCGTAATGAAAATACTGTTTCACAATTTCTTTATCAGTTAGGTATATCTTTTAATTCATAAAACTAATATTTTTCAATAAATCATACTAAAAACTAATTTTTTTTCAGAACATCACAATCTTTCTTTTGAAGAATATAATGTATCGCAGCAAACAGTGCATGTACAATTAACAAATTTACCTATTAAAATATTAAAAATTTTTTGGAAAAGATGATGATAATTTTGATTAATATTATTTTTATAGATATTATTGACTATAAGATAATTATAAGTATAAAGAAATTAAAGCTCCATTTTAAAAATTATTATATATTCTAAAATAATTATACATTAATTAATACATTAAAATTTTGAAAAATTTTAAAATAAATATTTAAAAAAATATATATATAAATTAGTAGAAAAAATATTTTTATAATAATTTTAATTTTGTTATGATTTGTGCTTATATATAGTTTAAATTTTAATTTTGGCAAAGTATATTTGTTTTTAATAAACTTTTCTTAAAATAAATTTTTATTTTTATCTTTTATTTATTTTATTTCATTCAAATTAAAAATAATAATAATATAAATTATTGCAATTTAAAATTTTCAAAAATTTTATAATAAATACTATTAGTTATATAATATAACATGATGTAACATACTATATTCAAGTTTTATTACAAGTATAACATATGTTCAAGTTGAGATAAAAGTAATGTATATTTTTATTAATTTAACAATATACTTTACTTATATTAAATAATGTGTATTAATAAATTATTTTTTTATTTAAAGTATTACATAATATTATTTATTATTTTATAATATATCAGTAAATTTAAATAAAAAATATTGAATTCTTTAAATAAAATAATTAATGAAACCAATTGATTTAAAAAGTAATATTATATTTTTTGTTATAGTATTTCATAAATATTTAGATGTAATAAAAAATTTTTGATGTAATAATTAAATGTCAATTACTTTGGTCAAGTCTTGAAGGTTTTAAATGTAATCTTTGAATTACATATTCAGGCATGCAGTATGTTGGATTAATTTTTTTTAAAGGATAGTCAGTATTTAAAAGAGAAAGCGCAGTTAAACCAAAAAGAGTATGAAAAGGATCGGCAATATCGCCTGGACGATCACTAAATCCTCCTGATTCTGTATCTTGACATGCTAATACAAATTTTACCTGTAAATTAATATTAAATCAAAAATATAAAATATAAAAGTATAATGAAAATATAATGAAACTTGCCTTACAAAGTTACTTTGTTAATTTCTAATCATATGATATATAATGATTTCTAATGATGTATAACATAATATTAAGCTTTTTCAATTTAATTTTTTGTCAATTGAAAAATTTAATTATTAAAAAAAAAGAATTTCAATATAAAAAATTTTATATAATCCCAATTTGTATCATGTTCTCTAACATTATAAATAAAATAATTATTTATTTTCAGCATTATAAAAACTACATATAATTTCTAATAATAAATAATAAAAAAAAAATATTAATCATAAAAAATATTACCAATTATTGAATATTATTTTATTTTTTTTAATTTAACTCTAAAAATAACTAATGAAAAAATAATTAAATGATAAAATGCTCTTTCAATAATTTGCTAATCTATTTTTTAAAATAATATATATAAAAGAAATATATACCAATTGTTCTTTATTAACCCAATGAAGGCGTCCTAAAATTGTAAGTGCAGAAAGAACCCACCAAGAGTAGCAAACATCAGGCAACTTTTCTGGTCTACCATTTAAACCTCCAGATGGAAGTTGTCTTTCACAAAGCCACCAACTTAATTGATCTGCATCTATTAAATGAAGATTATCTGGAAATATTTAATATCTTTATGTTATTGATTGTCCAATAAGAATTCAATGAATTGCATTTTATTGTATTAAATTTTATTGTAATATTTAGAAGAAAAAAAAATCAAAATAAAAAAAATTACCAGTTATTGATAAAAGTCCTATGGAGCAATAAATCATACCAGCATGACTTTCAGCTCCAGGCTTTGATCCAAAACCACCATCAAAATTCATACATTTCATTACAAATTCAACTGCCTTATTAATATCTATTGCATCCAATCGATTCTAAAACAATATTTTTAAAATTTATTTTAAAATAATTAACAAAAAATTTCATTTAATATAAATTTTTTTTTATACACATATATTTTTTTTATATATGTACATATAAATATTTAAAAAGTTTTACTTGCCAAAAGAGATAATGTTGCCACAGCACAAAAAGAAAATCTCATATCAACTTCACCCCAAATGTCACCAGTAAAACTTCCATCTGGTTGTTGTCTTTCTTTTACATATTTTATAACTTTTTCTATATCAATAGTGTCTAATGCATCATATATACATAATATTTGAACTGCACTCAAAGTATAAAGAATATGCGGATCATGTTGTAAACTAGCAGCTATGCCACCACTTTCTGTTTGACATTGAGCAATAAATTCCAATACTTCATTTCGATTTGTTTGTTCCAATTTACCCATAAGATCCAATGCTGTTAAACCCCAATACATTCCAGACATTCTCATATGTTCTGTCATACAATACATCTAAAATTTAATAATATCTCTATTAATTATATAATAAGTTCAATTTTAATATATATGTATAATTAATCTTTATATTATATATTATATACAAAATATATAAAATATAAATAAATTGTTATATAATAGAATTTTGTTCATATAAATTCCATTTAACAATTGATAATAACAATATTTAAAATAAAAATTATTATATCTATTGAATATCTATAAAAAAACTTTTAAAATAAATATAATACTTACATATTCATCCTTATCAGTGCCATAAGAAAGTAAAAAGTTTGCATGCTTTTCCAATAATAATTCAGGAACTGAAGTTGGAAGTTCAATATCATGTTTTAACACTGGCTAAAATACAAATTAAAAATTTTTGTA